TTGGTTGAAATGTTAACATAAAAAATAAGCAAATAAAAAAATGTTTAACATTATTTTAAGTTATCATATTTTATAATCATTCAATTATGCTGCCATTTTATATTAACTATAGATACCAATACCAAAAGTACCTATTCCATTTATTCAAATGAAATTAATTCTAATGATGTCCAAAATTTTAATTTGATTAATCACAAATAAAATAAAATAAATTAATTTACCTTAGCTTATAGAAAATTAATATTGAATAGAATTAATTGGATTAATATTATTTTACAATTAGGTACTTATACCTATGTATATTATATTGTATTTAATTTATTATGTTGTTACATCCATTAACACTAAAAATATAAATAATTGGCAGGGGGGACTTTGGTTTGTGGAAAACTTTTTATCGCACCTACCTTACAACTTTTAGATAATATTTTTTAAACTTCACCAATTATTATTCATTTTAGTATTTTGTAGACGTAATAAAATGTTCAAAATAAATTGAATTTATTCGATTCTGTAACTTAATTATTTTACATCAGTATTATTTTAATAGAACTTTTAGTACTGGGTATATTAAAACTTGACACAAGTAACTACACTTATTTGTATCATATACTTATTAGAAGATAGTATATTCATTCAATTAAAAAAAAAATCTTTTACATTTTGTTCATGTAAAAAATGTGTCAAACATTATAACAATACTTTTTTAAACTGAGCTCTGTTTCTCATTTGTTTTCGAATACAAAGTTGTATTACAAATATACAAAATCAATATTTTCACGTTCAATTGTCTAGACATACCTATAGTCTTTGTGGTATACGATATACGTACACCATTCTTTTTAGTTTTTTGTTAATTACTTTCTTTTCAACCATTGGTTAATTAATTATTAGAAATATAGCTGGTTCATAGTTTTGGAATGTCATTATAATTTAAATTACCTACTTCATTGGCAATTCATTTCAAATGTACACATTTTCCGTAGACGAAATACAATTCATTTGAGATGATTTGGCTTATGCAAAATAATATTGTCAGTGAGATATTACTGTCAATGAAAAATGTTGTCTTAATATTCGCCCTGTGGTGATTACGTGTATGATTGAGCGCCTCTTTAGGGTTGCCAACGGATGACGGAAACGATGCCAACAAAAACGCCCAAGTTAATTTGCCATCCAAGTTTTTATTATTATTTTTGGGGGGACGTCTCCAGCGGTTTATAAAAAAAACATAAAAAAAAAGAAATACCGTGACTGACAAAATATGGTCGTCGATCTGTTTTGGCTGTCATCTAGACGGATTTAATTGGTTCCTTGATCATGGGCATCCTCGGTGGTGTAAAAAAAAAATTATGTCGTTTAAAACTAACGCAAAGGCGGGCGTATGATATTATTGTGTACGTTTGTGTCGCGTATGTGTTTGTTAAAAATAATATGTGTCGCTAGTCGTAAATTATCATAATAGCCTGCTGGCCGTATACACAGTGCACAAGTGGTATGCACGTAAGTTACCCCGTGATAATCGATTGTCAAAGGACAGTTTTTACATGCAAGTTGACTATACCCGTGTAGCATTTGGTCATTGCTTTAAAAGCAGTAAATAAAAGTCGTTCGAGCAAATGGAACAAAATTCGATGGGCTTTTAAGAGAGCTGGGAGGTCCAGTAGCATTAAAAAAAAAAAAAAAACAGGTAAAAATTCCCTTTCTCCACGTACACTGCTATAGTATATAGTTACAACCGTCACCGCCGTCTACCCATTATTTGGTTGTGCCTTTCAAAACGGAACGAAAGAAAAAGGACTTCAGCCCATCAGTTCTGTATTAGGCGTATATATATATATATATATATAGGATAAAAAGAAGTCTACTCTAAAAATCAGCTTTACGGTCGGCCGGTTTTCTTAAGCCCGGCTTTGTACGGTATTGAGTGAGAGGACGTAGGGTGAGGAGGACTTAATTTCGAACGGACCGATTGTTGTCGCCTTTAAGCGTTTATAAAGCTTCGAATTTTTTTTTTTTTTCTACTCTTCAGTGCTACAGTTTCCAACAGTCGACTTTACTTATCGTAAAAAAAAAATACAGTGAATTCAGCATGCGTCGCACATGAGTTTAGTGTTGCCAGTAGTAAATGGATTGAAGGGGACCGAAAAGAATACCAAAGTAGACAACATTTTATTATCGATTAAGGTGTGTGCTTTTTACTATGGCATAATGTTGTTTCCTCACAATGTTATAGTAATCAATTTATCTGTTCGATATGTTTTAATTTAAAAAGATGACAAATAGGTACCAAATGTCCGTAATAGTTGCCGAAATTATTCTTAAGTTTTCTCATATAGTGTAAGTATAATACTGCATCATATATTTTAGTATTTGTCGCGTTACTACAAGTGTGTTTTATTTTAATAAATGTATTTTGAGAGGATACATCAACTAATTTGTACTTGTAAGCTTCTACATATATCTATGTCATGAGTTACCTGGTTTCGTTATTCCCCCGCAGTGATTTTATTCAACTATAATGTATTATAGTATAAAAAATATACGATAGCTGCACTATCTGATAAAGCGTGACATAAACATAATCATAATATGTCTTGGAGAATTAAACGAGTTGGATGTAATGATTTATACTAAAATTTTAACGAAATGTGCTCCTTAAAAGTTTATCAATTTATTATACAAGCGTACAGCAAAAGTTGTTTTCGATTAAATGTAATATCTACGCGTATCGCATATTGTTATGTATATCTACTAGTTTATCCTATCTAAACTGTATAATAATATAATAGTATGTGACTGTAATATGTATATATATTCTTTGAATAATATATTAGTCTAAAAACTTTTTATCGTAGTTTTCGTGGAGGAGGAACTTATAACTATAATGTAATTGATACTTACTGCTTACGAATAAAACATTTAAAACTGTTCAAATGGTTATATGTATATATATTGATTTAACTTGATATTATATTGCTGTACCCTGTAATTCTTTAGTGATTCTATTTTTTTAAATTTTTAAGTATATACCTACCTACTTTTTAGTCTAAAGAACATATTTAAAAATACTTTTACATGTGTGCATTTAAGAACTTGGCGATCATTTTTCAATGTTTATTAATTTTACAAACATGCTTATATAATATTAATACGTGCATTATGCGCAACTAAAATACGCTGCAGCTAATAACCTTTAATGAGGCTCTTAGTAAGAGGAACTTGTGAATAATATTGTACATAGGTGGCTGATGTGCGTCTTTTCTTGACACACCGACCTCGACAAATCCCCCGGAAACGCGTGACGGCGACCGGAAGTGTGGAGGTTCGTGAATATATTGTACGTATTGAATTCTATTCAGACTCGCTTAGCTGAGATGTTGTCGCACTGCACAACTACTGCACTTTCCGCGAGCTATTCGATCGGTGGCACGTCTGGACGCGAAAAAAATTTTGTCGACCGCGTTTTCCTTGGACTGATGAACCGGGGCGACGCGAAAATTATTGCGGTTATACCCGTTCGCGAGTACACAATATGTTTTTCCAATGATCAGTCTCAAAGGAATCGTTGGGAATCGGACGGCGCATCGAAAACGTGGAGAAAAACGGTCAGAGGAAACCGCCGTTTTCCTTTAACACCCACCAACGGAAAATATCGCTTGGTTAATCGCTCGCGATAAACGGAAACCATATATGGTAAACTATATAGTATCGCTGACCGCGGTACACAATATCGTGTACTCGTGAACTGGTAACCGCGGTGATTTCCGCATCGTAGATGGGGGGTCGGTCGATCTGTCTGAAGAATACGCAAAATTGTAGTTTTTCAACGACATATGTGCCGTTCGATTCTCGACCAAACGGTTTTCACCGTCATCCGCTAGTGCGTATGTTAATTGAAGCTTTTTGATGCGACACTCGTGATGTTGCCGGCGTATGTGGCCAAGGAGTTTCTATATATTTTCTTTACACAAACGATACACAATACAAACAAATACTAAATAAAAAATAATATAAAAAGAAATTCTGTACGTGATTCGGCACTGAACATCGACGGTAAAACGACGCTCTTGCATCGTCAAAAGATTGTTGTCCCTCTGTACAGTCACGTGTTACGGTGCACATAATATATTATTTTTTATTATTCTGTACAAATAATATAGCGTCGTTTGAAATCGATTTATGATTTAGAGACGGTTAGACTGCAGACATCTAGCCACAAAACTCATTGTAACCTAATTTTATATATATATGATTGATGATTTAATTATTTTAAATTAATTTAACATCTAATTACTGTCGACCAAATGAGATGCTAATTTACATCGAGGGAGCTAAGCCACAACCTAGTTTGCGCACTAGTCATCTACAAATCGAGGTTCACTAAAATATTTTTCCACCAGGCCTCAAAATTGTAATCGCGTTTTCGATTAGGTCAAGTCATTAGGCGTATTACACGTAAATATATTAGGTTTGAATTTAATGTACAGGTGTGTATTATAATATTATATTAAAATATAGCACAAAGTTATATTTTCACCAGAATCGTGAGCTCTATGATTTAACACCGTGTTTAAAAGTAATAATATAACAATAAATTAGTATTCATAATTTGCCACGTTTTTCGAAAAGTTCAGCACGCACACATTTTGCACCGAAATACATTTGTTTTATACTGATATAATATATATATAATAATATATAATATACATAAATATATATGTACGTATACATATAATTTGACCCTTAGAAATTTACATGTTGGTCACGTACAACTTTTAGCTCCAAACAATAAGGCCAATAATAACGGGGAAGGATTTTTTTTTTGTAGCTCAGCTGTCATAAAACGATGAAATGGATTATAATGTCAGCAGTTGACTTTTTACCGATACGGCAGAAATCCTTTTGACATTTTCAGCCTCTGTTTTTTTTATTTTTAGCACAAACTAGGTCACATTTTAACGATCGCAAAATGTAAAGTTTAATATTTTTCGTTTCAGGGTACGCACAGAAAGAGAAGGGGGTGCTTGGTGTCCAAAAGAGCCGGTCACTAGGGAACCCACCGAATGGCTTGAAGTCAATTTACACGATGTAAGAGTGATCACTTCAGTGGAGACTCAAGGCAGGTTTGGCAATGGACAGGGTCAAGAGTTTACCGAAGCATTTCTGATTGACTACTGGAGACCAAAGCTTGGAAAATGGGTCCGATACAGAAATATTACTGGACACGAGGTGAATAAAAAAATATACTACATTACAATTAAACAAAAGTATACGAATTTAGGTATTACCTATATATAGATTCATAGAATATAATAATTATTATACATGTAAACTTAAGACGGAAAATATCTTTCAATTATAATGGTATACAAAATATATTAATAATTAGACACCATTTTATTAATAAAATCTCTAACAGAAACATATAAGTATCCTTGTACCTTATCATATGTTGTTCTTTCTTATTATGAAAAAAAAAACATCTATTATTTGGATTCATACAGCACCTCTGTTGGACCGTTGTCCACTCTTTCAATATTCTATAATTTGACGATTAATGAGATTTTATGCTTTATTTATTTTTATTTTGTAACGATCTTATATTATACAAATACCTCTACTTATTCAATCTTTGATTGATGAAAAGTTCGTTACGGTCTATATTTATCATGGATCATCAGTTTTTTTAAGATAGCATAAACAACTATTGGTTAGTTTGGCTAGACTATATAAATATTGGTTGACATATATATCATATATATATCACATATATATTACATATATTACATATATATCAACACTATTAATATTGTTTTAACTCCATAGACAACTTAAGAATTCTTATCTTTTTTCTAAATACACGATCTGATAGAATAATATTGTCACCTATCGATCGGCACGCATTGACGTTGAAATGATTTTTTTTTTTTTTTTAAGTAGGTATTCTTATACCGTATAAAATAAGCCAAATTACTGTTATAAAAATTAATAACAATTAGTGGTCAAAATGTTGTAAATGAGAAGATTTTACAATATTATTACCCTTTTAGAGTTTTCGTCTAAGTACGTTTTTCCAGACTTAAATATTATTTATCAATGTAATTAAAATAATGTCTGACATTAAACGCTGATTCACAATGAAACTTAACGGAGCTGTTGATTTTAGAGGCCATTATCTTTTGAAATATAGCACGAAAACAATATAAAAATCTCCCCTGAAACAACTCAACCGTGGGCTTTTTTTTTATACATACAACAAAAGACGTTATAAACTATATATCCTTCCCTGCTATATAGTCACAAGTATACAAAGTTTATGTAACGGTAAGGTTTTTTCTCTGCTATAATATTTCCGAGCTATTGCAGCATTACCGAGTTAATATCCCTATACATTTTAAATATATATACATAAGTCTTACAATAGATATACTAAACAAACAATGATAAAGAATGTCCTCTCAAACAATATTGAATAAACCCTACAGACTATAATATTATAACATTATGAATAATTTAAAAGAATCCCCTGATATTTATTTATTCGTTGTAGATCGTTAATGCGACGGTTAAGTGTGTGTATTACGTTATATGTACCTAAATACATTATATAACGTATATATTCCATATCATAATATATAAACTAAATAATATATGTATATAGGTATTGACATATGCGTATTTCACCGTCAAGTGATTTCTCGAGGGAAATTCATTTTGGCGGGTCTAATTTGATTATATCCGTCGCGATTAATTAACGGACCTTGTTAACCGAGTATTTTCGAAAATTAAACATACCCCTCGCACTCCAACAGTTACATTTTTGCTTACGAATATATTTTAACATTAACCAATTTTAATATTATATTTTTTATATAATATTCATGTACCACTGTATATGCATATGTATAGGATGTATATACAATATGATATATTATACGGACACATTACGACAGCACTCTGTATTTATTATAAATTATAATGCTCCCCACGAGATGACCCATACGATCAATCCAATTTATTTTAGTGTATAACTTATAACCAGTAACTACGTAAAGAACGAATAAGACCACTCTATGTCTCTATACGTGTGTATTATTATGAGCATATTATAATTAGCTACTTATTTGAACTTACAATCGTTTATGGTATATTCCAACGGTCAGGGTAAAAATATATTTTTATCTTAAAAACAAATATTATAGTAACTGAACTTTACTAATAGACAAAAAAAAAATCATTGTGAAATAGATTATCAAATATACTTAATTTCTTTTTTACTGTGAATACTTCTTTTAGCATAAATAATTATGCGTTCAAGTTTGAAATGCATAATACTATATTATGGCTGTTGCATTTTTTTTCAAAAATCTTATTTGTGACGTCAGAATATGGGAATGCTCCCTAATATTAAATTTCGTCTATTTCACTCGTCACAAATACCTCAGTGACTTTGAGACAGTTATTCATACTCAAAGTGCTTTGAAACGTTAAACGTTAAATTGTTTCTATATTCCTATGCAGTATGCACTCATAGTTTCGGTAGGTACATGTACGTAATTAAATATTGTTTAATTAATGTAACCGTATTTTGTAATTAATTCGTGTTTGGACTTACATTTTATATTCTAATTTTAATTACAATTATAATGCCTAAACTATTATTAATTACATAGTGTAACATGTTTAAAAACCATAATTGTAATTATACATTTTAAGTGCCTATGTCGATTGCATTTTTATTCAAATCACCGAGTAATTTGGGAACATAAGAAATAGGTATACCTATAGTGAACATTTGCCTGCTCTGTTTTGTGGCGCTTACATTTCGCGGATCCACTTTACCTACGGATAAAAGGAAAACAGCAAAAAGATTTCGACCAAAAGTTTATGCTTTTGTATGTTTTCCTATTTATGATGCAATATAGACAAACGAATCAAAACAATAGTGGAACACCGTGTGGCTCGTTGTATAGAGTTTCAACTTGTTAATTGTTATTATTATATTTTCCAAAAATCAAATTAAATTACTTACATTCTAACAATATTAATCATAAACAATTTCAAATTGTTGGTTTTTAATTCCTACGATCTTTTAATATTCTGAAGAACATTATAATGTAAACACAATAAACTTAAGTAGGTATTTATTATAATTGTGTCAAAAACACCTGCAGCAACAATATCTTAACAATAAACAAAGTACTGAAACCTAATCCCCAATGCTATTGTAATATCTCGTCACGATAAACATTTGTTTTGCTCTTATTTTCTATCTAATATTATATCGTATCAGTGAAGCTCTTCTCGTTGATCTGTACATCACGAGTCATTCATATTCTGTGGTATTATAAGATCGTTGATGTGATCGGTAGACGTTTTAATTCGTACATCCAAATCGTATAGGTAGATATGGTACCTATGGTATAGGTAGATACCATAAATGTTAAATTATTCCGTATAGGGAACGGTTCTAAAAACAAAATTCAGAGTTTCGCCTTATGACGTGTGGACGAGCGGGGGCGGAATGTGTAAATGATTGAGTAGGTATTCACAATCGCAACTTTTGTGCGTGCGTGAATGCCCGTCGATCAATAGGTATAATATAATATATACCTCGCCGACTACACACACTCATGCCCACCCATTACACTGTAGTTGGTATATAATAGTAGTAGTAGTAGGATAATAGTAGTACAACACAAGTGTATCGTCGTCGGGTTAAAGAGATCAACGAAATCATTACTCTTGTATGCGCGAGAGTGTGTGTGTGTGTGTGTTTTATGGTGTGTGTGGTCGCCGCACGGGCTCTCTCGTCAATACGTATAGACTAGCTGGTATCATTATAATATTATATATGTATATAATCTACGAGCCCCCCCAGTATTCTTTTCTGATCGAGTGGATCGCTTTTATGTAATTTATATTTTTTTTTTCGTACTTCCCTTCGACACGACACAACGGCTAACAACCTTTCGCAGAGATTAATGACACGGGGGGCCTCCAATGCCGCGCATATTCGTTGTGCACACTCTGGTGACCTGTCGCCACCGTGGTCCACAATATTTTATACTATTTGTTTATTCGTAAACGGCTTGTAAGCAAGTCTTTATTTGCCAGTATTACCACACGAGTACGCGGTCCTAATTTATGAGCCGCGAGATGGTATACCACATGGGGTGAGAAGGGGGAAGGAGTTACTAGTACGTAAAGACTAGGGACGCATATACGGTCGTTTGTAGACGTGTACAGGACGCTGCACGTGATCTGCCCGAAAATAATTTGCTATTTTTTTCCACTCGGTTTTCCTCGCGATTTTATCCATACTGCGGGGGAGAAGGGGGCAGTTTAATAACACGCGACTCGTACATTACCGGTGAATCGAATAAAACGGGCTGTTAAATGGCGGTACGTTAAACCCGCGGAACACGGTTAGGTAGGCACATGAACAACAATGCTGCAAAGAAAAAAACAAATATGGAATTACACAGATTATTATTATTATTATTGCGATTGTTTTGTTGTAGTGTTTTGTCCGTATAACGATTAAAACAATGTCTAATTATCATAATGGAATTTGTAAACTCTTGTTCTATTGTTTTTTCATTAAACGCAACAAGTTTTTTTTCAATGTTTCTCATAATTACATCACATATGTTTCGAGCTCGGTTCAAAGCAAATTTTTGATACCGAATTTTTTCGTCTATCGAACAAAATTAATGTTTGCCATGTTAATTTTTTTTTATCTACCTAATATAAACTTTTAACGAATAATTTTGTTATTTATTACATGGCGTGTTTCATTTTTTCTAATTGTTTAATTAAAATAGTTATATTTTATTTTAATAATGTATTTTTAGTAAGCATTTAACAAAATAAAAACAAAAAATAAGTTTATTTTGATTTATTTTTTTAATAACGCTCCACGATTTTTTTCTTTTTCCATTATTCATTTAATATATTTCTTTCTTGCGATATTATTTTCTTTTTCGTTGATATAATGACAAACACCGTCGCTTGTATAATAACAAACAGAAACATTAATGGATTTTTCCCCTTGCGATATTTTTCAATAATATATCGCAATGATTTAACATTTTGTACAAAAATAATATCGCTTGGGTTTTCAATGAAATCGTAATTAATGTTTAGACGAAAAAAATACGTAAAATAATTAAATACTCAAAGAGGCGTACCTTTTTATTTTGTTCACATTCAGCAATGTGATTAAT